GAGGTGGCATGGAAGAGGGTTGAGCACTATTAGAGACCAAGGCGAATGATTTGGTTGAAGGAGTTGAAGTGCTGAGCATGACAATTTTCAGCCTTTCATCATAGGGAATTTCAGTGAAAGCAGCGATGGCAGAAGGCGTAGAGATCCCGACCAAGAATAAGGCCCCAGACTTCATCAAGCTCTTTGTTAAGACCTGTCAAGAATTAGAACATGTGAGCATTTTCTCCAATTTTTTGGATGAGGGAGAGTTCAGCCGTTGAATCCTAAGTGTAGTCGTAGTACAGATCGCATTTCATCCATAGTGCGGCTAGATTATTGCAGTACTGAGTCACGGTTTGATCCATGTATTGTCTCTCTGATCTTCTTAGACACCTCATAGAGTTGGTCGGAGTTTCCTACGTTCGAGTAGGTATCACGGCACTAGTGGAAAGGAGTAACATGTATAAACAACCAATTGACGTTTCCATGGAGTTGATTAGCCATGATATGGCAATGGAGTTCTTCACTTGAAAGCTCCATAAGCCGGATTGGTTTCTGAAGATTCACAGGTCACACCTGTGAGGTGACTGAATTTCCCGCATTCTTTGATGAACAAAGACACTACTTGGGACCATTGGAGAAAGTTGTTGTCGTTCAGTTTATTAGTTGTGATCAAGAAGAGCGTGTTGGTTTCTGATCCCCCGGTTTGCAAGGGAACATAGGTTGGAGTCGATCCTCCAGTGGAATCAAGAGCTCATTCTGACATTGGTTCAGTGTTGGAATATGTCGTGATTTTGACTGAGCCAAAGGAGACGTGATTGGGATTCCAAGACATTAAAAAACTTTAGCAGGTCACCGACTCACGCACAAACTTGTAGGAAATTCAAAAAATTACAAGAAAGTTGCATGGAACAAAATAAAATTGTTGAGAATACAAAGGAATTTGGACTGCTGCTGATATCAGGGTAGCCACAAGAAATTTGGACTGCACCCGGTACAGAGAAGTCGCACGGGATGACCTATAAGGAAGGCTGGCAGCGAGACCAGCAGGCATGGCCGCACAAAGACCTGCAAGACGGTCGGCAGACGGGACCTGCAGGGATGGCGCAGCAAACAACTGCAAGAAGACCGGCAGGCAAGGCCTGCAAGGATGACCACAGAGAAGACCTGCAAAATGCTCGGCGGGTGCGACCTGTAGAGGAGGTCGCGGCTACGATGTCCTACAAGAGACCCTATAGGAAAGGTGGGTGACGACTGCATAGGGGGATGGAGGCTTTAGAGGAGGCTTTGATACCATGTTGAAACTTTGAATAGAGCAGCTTGAATTCCTATTGATAGAAAGCGGGGGTAGGCGAAGTGATAAAAGCATAACAAAGTGAGAGGAAAAGAAACAAAATAGAATACAGAGAAATAAAAAAAAATACAAGAATAGAAGGAAATTAATACAAATCTCTGCAATAATTCTAATAATTAGCATTAAGATTATCAATGTCACTAGCTCTAATCTTTAATTCAACTCGCCATTTTTTTTGGCAACTTATTATAATTCAACGCTATTACCAAGGATATGAGCTATACTACTAATTTTCTTCCTACTCATTATGAATTTCAAGATGGAGACGCACAGAAGGCAGTGGGAAGCCAAAAAAAAAAAAAACTAAGCTCCATCACCTACATCATGAAGGGAATCATGAAAAGCAACAATATTATGGCATTTTTGCTTTGGTCATCTAAATTTCACAATATCTAAGAAAATTATTCTCTTCTCTTTTCATCAACATAAATCTTAAAATATTTCGTGCAAAAATTATCAATTAGCTAAACACACTCAAACTTCATGCACTAATCTTTATACAACCTTTTGCAACTATCAATAGTGACATGATGACAATTGAAGCCAAACTGAGTGTATAATCAATGAACATACTAAAATCACTTGAACCTTTCTAACGAATGACAACTCTGAAATGACTTTCATTTTTCAAAAACTTTTCCCGATAAAAATTAAATACAAAACCCAAGTTCAAAACCTTAGGACCGAAATTGGAAAATAATATTTTTTATTACATTCTTGGAAAATATCTCCTCCACCAAGGAATTGTTCACCTAGAATATATAAGAACTTCTTAGCAAAATGGAAAAGTTGAAAGAAAAAGTAAATATTGTATAAAGGTTGCTCGATCACAAATGGTTACTAGTAATATCCCAAATATTATTCGAGGGAAGATGTATCCCATATCACAAATGATTACTAGTAATATCCCATATTTCATTAATTATATGCCATCAAGAATCCTATACTTCATTACTCCTTGTCAAACTCCCACACAACAAATAACCCAAATATGGACTTTTCTCAACCATTCCTCTTATGATGTTCGGTTGTTCTGCTTTTCTGAGCATTCCTCCTCAATAGAGAAGCATACTAGGCCAAAGGTCATAAAATACATATTGATTGCTACTCTCCTCGCCAACAAGAGCATAAATGCTATTCCTTCAATCTCAAAAATTATTGTTACACCATGGATGCAACCCAACTAAACAATTAATCATTCTTCTTCAAAACTCATATCCATAGGTAGAACATCAACTCTATTTATGAATATGAGTTCTATCAAGCAAACGTTATTAAACTACACCTTATCAAAACTACAACAATCATAATATTTCAAAGATTACGTACGAGCAAGATAGAAAAGGATTGGCTATTACAAATTACAAAAAAAAAAAAATTGCAAACAGCCAGATAGGAAAAACCATATCTCTTGAACCAAACTCAATGTCTCAACATATTATGACACTGCTTCACAAGGACAATGCAAAACTAACTCTGAGAATGATCAAAACATTTTAATTGCTTTTTTTTTTGGAAAAAAAAGTGTGTAGCAAACATCCAATCAATCAATAATTTTTTTATTACATATTATATCCTAGGTTATATGCTTTTCTACAAATATTTCTAGCACAAAAAATCTCCTAAGAGATTGTCTATTGCTTACAGATACCTGAGTAGAGAAATGAATTCATGAACAAATCCAAGCTTTTGAAAAAAAGAATACGTTAGAACTCTCAAATCTTCTCAAAGGAAAGAAACATATTAGATGAAATGGATATTCAATGTAAAATTTAAAACCAATAGAGGTATTAATCTATATAAAGTAAGATTGGATGCAAATAAATTTAATCAAACCTATGAAAGAAGTGATAAAAAAACCATTGAGCACATTGCTAAGATGAGCACACAGTAATTTTCTCTCCTGCAGCAAATTTAGATTGGTCACACAGTCTACTAGACCTACAAAATATGTTTCTAAAGGAAACTTGAAAGATGAAATTTATATGACAATTTCTTCTAGCCTTACAAAAACTAGTAAAACAAACTAGGTTTGTAAACTCAAGAAATCCCAACTATTTCACTAAGAAATCATCTGAAGGTATAACATGTAAATATCATCCTAACTGGTGACCATGATGAAAAAATCAACAAGCCAAAATGTGCCTTGGCACTATTTAAAATTATAAATTTTGATTCATTAAAATATTTATTAAATATAAAAATAACAATATCAAGTAAGTGGACAACCATCCCTTAACAAAAATGTCTTGAGACTTACTAAAAGAAACTGAGACACTTGGGTAAAAACTCACAAACACTCAAATGGATCTTTCAACCAAAATTTTGACAAATTGATATGACAATGCTTGCTAGAGATGTTTGTATATCTCTCCCACGCTAGATCTGATATTTATTTTCAGGTTAGTGTTGCTATTCCATTTATGGATAACCCTACAAGAGAGCAATTTGATGTTGTATATATGGTATTAAGCTATCATAAAAATCATAAAGGGGGGTATTCTTTAAAAATAGGACTGAAACAAATATCAAAATCTTCACTGATGTTGAATGGGCTAGATCTTATATATATGGAGAAGCAAAAAAAATTATTTGTAATAGTTCAGACTCGGAGTAGTACTGAAGTAAAATTCAAGGTCATGCCCGTCAAAATGTGAAATACATGGCTTAAGCACCTTCTCAAAGATCTAAAATCTCCCAATATAGCACTTATAATAATGAAAAGTGATAACTAAGCTTCCATTAGCTTTGTAACAAATTCAGTCCACCACGATCAAACCAACCATGTTTAAGTAAATAAACACTTTATAAAAGAGAAAATTAATAAGGAATCATTTAAATGAATTACACTCCAGTAAAATTTCAAACTATTGATATCCTTATTGAGGCTATTGATCAATCTCGACTTGACAATCTTAATTCCAAACTAAAAATGATCTACATATATTTTCAGCTCCTGGGAAGGGGGCTGGCTCCACTTGCCTATTGTTGATTATCTACCTAATTTGCAGATACAACTCAGCAATCCATCATACTCCACGGGCCTTCCAAATGGTGTCATCTTTTCTCTATGACAATTTGAATTTGACACGGAGGCAGGAAATCCCGCGAGTGCGGGATACAGCCACCAGTCCCTCTCCCTTCCTTCCATTTGTGTTCTTACCCATTTGGAGTCTATAATTACTGTTTCTGAGAATTAGAGCTCAGTTTTTTGCTTGCTCTTGTTTCAGATTTCTCTTTGAGTCTCTTCTCCTATGCTAGGGATGTATACGACTACGGGTGGTGTTTCGGCTGTATACTGCTTAGAGTGATGTTGTATACTGCTTAGAGTGATGTTGTATCCTCCCGTCTTCTTCCCCAACCTTTCCCCTGCATCCGAGGTGGTGTTGAATCCTCCCCTATTTTTTACATTTATAAGACCTAAAATTTGCATGTCACATTAAAAATACAAAGTGCAATACACCTTCTCATGCATAGATATGGTATGTATGTAAAAATTAAAGTTTAGATGTTAGATATGTAAATACATAGGAATTAAAAAGTATACATGTACACGTTCCAAAATTTAATCTTCACATAGAGAAAGATCATGCCAGCTAACGGTCATGAAGAAAACATTGGAAATTAGAGCGAATAACGTTCATAAGAAGAAAGAGCCAAGTCATACCTGGCGAAGGGTGGAGGTGAGGGATTCCAAAAGTACGAGATAACAGTCTAGGGAGTCAAGAAAAAGTAATGCCTGCTCTTCTCGTTCTTTCAGTTCACCATTCGTCTCATCCTTCACTATTTTTTCTTGCAACAGATTACGAGGATTGCCATCCTCCATCGCCGCTCAACTGATTGAACTTCATTTATCAGAGTAACATAAGAATCTTTTCGGCGTGATAATGAGGTGGTGGATAGAGAGACGTGGGATAGGGGATGAAATGGTGGTAAATGGAGTTACCTTAAGAGGAGGCGTTGATCGCCAAAGTGACAGCAACAAAACCGCAAAATTACGGACAGAGCAGACGGAGGTGGGCGTCGCCGGCGTTGACTAAGCAGCTATTGCAAATGGCAAAGGGCGATGAGGATTAGGGCATACGGTGGGGGAGTGGTGGGTGGGGGGTATATTATTATGTTTTATATGTTTTTATAATTAAAAGATATAAAAGATATTTTATTTGGCATTCATAATTAAATAATAATAATAATAGTTTTTATAAGACGGTTGATACACTCTAGTGACGCACATCACATGTGATGACTTCCTTGCTCCACCTAGCGTAAAGCAATTTTGAAACAATTAATTTATTCTTATTAAAAATAATAATTATAATTTGTAAAAAATTTATTTTTTATATAAGAATACATGTTAAAAAGATAGAGAAATTTTCTTACTTTATCAAGATTATTATGTACTTACATATTATCTACTAACATCTAAAATTTGATTTTTATAGTTTGTTAAATTAAAAAATGTTTGGAAAACACAATCAGGGGACTAATTCGGTCATACAAAATTTAAGTAAAAATAATGTAAAATTTATTCATGACATAAACTACCTATTTATAGTATAGAAATATGTCTCGGTTATACAAAATTATGTAGGAGTCTTCTCATCATTGATTTTTCTTATTGACATTTTAGTAATTACAAAGATATTCCCACATAACAAAACTAGGGGGCTAATTCGGTCGGTAGAGGATTCTCGAATCGTATGTTGTATGTTGAGCCTTGACTCCATCGACATTTGTTTCAAAAGGGATGTTTGTTGCCTATCGACCTGAGGATCGATCGTCACCCTATGAGAAATCTTCTGGCATGCTGTTCCGATCGCTTGATCTAGATGCATTCTTCGTCAGCATCTACCCAAACGACGGTCAATATCTACATTTGATGGTTCGTATCTTCCTCTAGAGTTATTCATCTATTTTAAAATTCATGCTAACATATTTTTTTGTATAGATATTTATAGCACTTTGATATTAAAAATTTTATGCATTAAAATATGCACTAAACTTTTATGCACCTATACACCCCTAACCAACACTATACATCAATTTTTCTAATTAATTTAAACAAACCAATTTAGAGTCGTACATGAGCCGAACACGAACACAACTTTAACAAGCAATTTCGAACAAAATTAATTTAAAACAAACATAATACGAATCAAACTTGAGCTCACTCAAACTCGCTCTTTTACCATCCCAATTGCCGCCCTTCAAATACCAATGGAGCCACCACCATGTAAATTTACTTATTCAATAACTCGATTCATGCACTTATCAAACAAGAGAAACTAAACATTTTCCATTAGTATTAAATAAAAAAATGGCAAATTACTTTCTTCATTAAAAATATTCAACTTTCATTAATTAATGACCTGCATTTCTTAGATGGCAACTGAAATGAAGACAATTGGTTAGATTATATAGAAAATCCCATAAATCAACAATAACTTTCAAAAACAAATAATAGAATCTTACTCATACGTTACCTTACATTTAACAAATAAAATACAACATGTAAATCTTCCTAAAAAACCGAGGCATTTACATACTACCACACAATTTCTATGTATTTACAAATCTAACAGCTAAAGTTTAATTTTTACAATTATAACACTCGAATCTTTCATATCGCATCATAAATACCACTCTTACTAACAGTTATAAAGTGAAAGACACCTTTAAAGCATAGGTGTTAGACATAGGTGTTATGCATGCAACCATGAAAGTTTAGGTGTTAGATATGGAAATACATATGGATTGTGTGGTATTCATGTAAATCTTCCCAAAATAAAATCAAAATCAAATTTTTAACCTCACCAGGATTACAAACAGAGTAAAAATAGGCAAACAGCCACAACTAAAAAAATTAAAATAAAACAAATATATTTTTTATATATTTTATAACACATATTTCATATCACATCATATATACCAGTCTTACTAATGGTTTAAAAATGTACAGCACAGGAGTTAGATATGACTATATGAGTTTTTTTGTATGTAAATATGAAAGTTTAGATGCTTGATGTGTAAAGAATCTTCATGTAAAGCTTCCCAAAATAAAATAGAAATCAAAATATTGATTACAAGCCAAGCAAAAATAGGTGACCAGCTACAAAATAATTAAAATAAAATAAAAATACAAAATTAAGGGTAAAGTGCCAAAATAGTCCCCCACTATTTACACGGAGTCATTTTAGTCCCATCAGAGTTTATGAAAGTGCTAAAATAATCATCGTCTATTTTAAAATTGAGCTTCAATAGTCATCCATGAAGTCTATTACAACCCCAATTTAAAGAATCTATGAAGTAATTTGACATTTATATAAAGCCTGGGACTAATACGGCCTATAAATCCGGGTTTATTTTGGCACTTTACTTTAAAAACTAAACATACCAAATATTTGCTAAATCATCTTCCAACCTTCCTCTCTCTTTTAGCTCTCTTTGGAAAAAGTTCAGCACCTTCAAGCTTAGCTTCTTCAAGCATCTGTTCCCATAATCTCTCAAACTGGCCATGAAATCTTTTCTGAAACCAATTCTGAATCTCCAAACGCAGAAACACAGAATTCTCACTCCAAACCTCCTTCAACTTTGCTCTGCTATCGACGATCACCGAACCCATCCTCAATCTGCTCAACAGATCACTCACCCTTCTCTGCCCCAAAGCTTCTTGTCTCAGTAAGCTTGATGGAGTCGCAGACAAGAAATTCTTCCAAGTTTTAAGGCATGGAAGAACATTCCCTTCCAGTAGAGCAGAAGCAAACACCGCAACGCGAAAATCTTCATCTTCAATTGGTAAACTGTGCAGGGGAAGCTGCCAGTTATGGCGGCCGAAGGTGGGATTCACCCAGCAGAATACACAATCACTCAAAGGCTCATAATAAGGTTTTGGATCTACGAGCGGAGCAGAGAAGATGCATGCAGAATTAGCATATCTCACAAGCCAATCTGACTTTATTGCAGTTAGTCCATGCATGTATGGTCTGTTCGTGCAGAGAAGTTCAGCGTAGACGACGAATTCAGGCGCTGTTTGAGACACAGAAGAACGACGATGGAGAAAAACAGCTTCATCCATGGCGGATGATTGATATCTCATGGAATGAACTCTGTGTTCCTTATCCGAAGATCCTGTAATCATTCTCACCCGTTTTGCGACTCTATCTGCCCATCCAGCACAAATGGCTTGAGAGAGAATCTCTTCTTCGTTTATCTGTAAGGGATGTTTACTGGAAGGAACCAGCCAGGCCCGCTGGACATCGTTGAAGTCGCCATGACGCCATGAATCTTCTCTGTGAGCTTTTTGGTGATGGAATATAAGCTGAAGTATCTGTTTTCTCAGCTTGGACATCTCTTCCATGGTCTTGAAGTGGAGGGAGTTGGACCTACAGAAGTCAAATGTGTTTTCTGCGAGATCGAATGACTGCAGCGCATAAGCGATCGTTAGAGAATCACTGGTTGGGTTATGGAATCTTGCACGAGAGGCTTTCGCCATGGATTTCAGCTTCTTCTTCCTCAGTTTTTCCTCATGATCCAGAGCTTTGTGATCACCATCGCCATGGTTATCAAGCTGCATGAGGAAGGGATTTGGGAAGCTCAGAGCTGCTGCAGAGGCGGCGGCGTAAGCCAGCAGAAGATTTGGGCGGGAAAAGATGGAATTTTTTGCTAAGATGTGGATTACTGTGAGGATCATTCGGGAATGGCGAGGGCTCATGGGGAATTGCGCCATTGATCTTCCCAAAGATGTGAGCTTGCCGTTTTTATCAAGAGCATCAATGGCCTTCAGGCAGCGCTCGGCTTCCTCTAAAGCTGAGATCTTGGGAGGAGTTGGGAATGGAAAGTTTTCAACCTGAAAACACCGAAGTTACTGTTTTTCAGAACAAAAGGAGTTCAGACAGAAAAAGAAAGAAAATTTACATAAACACTACCCAATTCCTGTGTATATACATATCTAATGGTTAAATTTTAATTTTTACATACATACAAGGCACTTTATATATGCATAAATAAAAGATGTATTTCATTTTTTTCGTAATTGAAATGATGATATTTTGGATATGTTATGAAAGATATGAGTGCCATAATGGTGAAAAAGCTAATCTTAGATGTTAGACATATAAAAGTAAAAAAAGCAAATTTTAAATGTTAGACATGTAAATAAGTAGGAATTCAGTGGCATGTATATATTGCCGCAAAGAAGAAAGTTGCATTTACATACATACCACACAAGTCTTTAATATCTAATATTTAAACATTCATATTTATATACATATCACTCAAATCTTTAACATCACATCAAAATTATCACCTTCAAAATTACCACCTTTGTTAACTTTTTAAAAAGGAACAGAACTTTCAATGCATATTGTTATGAAAATGAAGTACTACAAATGTAAATATCAAACTTTCGGTACTAGTTATGCAAATACATAAAAATTTATGTGGTGTGCTTGTAAATTTGCGAAGAACACAGACTATATAATTCTTATGCATGTACTTACCTAACAGCTAAAATTTCATATTTACATGCATCACACTTTGTTGCATCAAATCTATGCATGAAAATGTGCATTTAAATTTAAGAAAGGATTTTATGTATGTATGTATGTATATATATGTATGTATGTATGTATGTATGTATGTATATGTATATGTATATGGTGATATTATGTATTTGAGTAACATAAATGTAAAAAAAAAACTGATCTTAGCTGTTAGATATGTAAATACAAAGAAATTGGACGGTATTCAAGTAAAATTCCCAAAAAAAAAAAAAAGTGCATTTTTACCACCTTATCAATCCCCGTGAACTTCATCATCAGTACAACTCCATCAACGGGAATCTTCAAAATCTCGGGGCAGGAAAACTCATTAAATATATCATCCTTCCCGAAAGCCGCAGCTGAATACAGTCGGTAACAATGGCCGGGTCCTGTTCTCCCAGCTCTTCCAGCTCGCTGCGCAGCCGACGCCTTACTAATCCACTGAACTTCAAAGCTGGCCATCCCATCACCATGATTATAGTTCTTCACCTTCTCCTTCCCCGTATCAACCACATATCTTATTCCCGGAATCGTCAACGAAGTCTCCGCCACATTGGTGGCGACAACCACAAGGCGTTCACCGTCGGGTACCTTTTCGAAAACCCTAAGCTGCGCCGCAGCAGGGAGCATCGCATAGAGGGGCAAAACATACAATGGAGCGAAAGGAGATTCTTTTACCGGCGCAGCCGGTTGAAGATGCGCCGGTTGAAGATCTGGTTCTTCTTCTTCGGTTTTCTTCGGATTGTTTCCTGTTAGATTCTCAAATGCGGTCTTCAATGAAGAAAGATTCTCTGGATTTTGCAGAAAATTTAGTACTGTTCCATCAATTTTCACAGAACTCTCATCTTCGCTCTCCTCCGCCGATTCAGAATCTGTCTCGGATTCTGAAAATCGGTTGTCAATTTCTTCGAATTCAGTTTGGTCTTCAGAAAAACTATCATCTATCCCAAAAGCCTCATCAATGTCCTTTAAATCCAGTCCAAGGGCTGAAGAGCTCTCATCATCCATCTTCTTCTTCTTCATACTATTTTCAGAAAGTTCCTGCGAAGCTTTCCTCAACTTCTTGCACAAGTACTCCACTTCTCTCTGTCCGGTGAGAAACACGAGAATGCCGCCATGGGGAAGCCTTTTATGGATTGACAGAACCTTTTTATAAGCATTATTTACATAGTCCTCTGTCGTCTTCCTCGAGAAGTGGATGGTCACCGGAAATTGCCTCACCGGAACTTCTAAAACAGGCGGCGCCACCTGAAACAACCTCTTATTGGAAACAAAATCCTCGACTCGGAGGGTGGCGCTCATCAGCATAACCTTTAATCTTGTAACCAAATTTTCAGGGCTGATCTTAGCACCTGAAACTATCTTTTTATGCTGTTCATCACATAATTCCTGTGATAGAAATTCACGAGGGTGAACATCCATAAAGCTTAGGCAAATGATAAGCTAAAGTACACATTAAATAATTGGAAGGTTTATATACATACAACTCAATTGCTATGTATTTAATTATCTAACACCCAAAATTTGATATTTACATTTAAAACATCTTGATGATATAAAACTCTGTAATAATAGTGATATTTTTAATCTCATGTTAAAAATTTGAGAGGAATGTCTGTAAATATGAATGTTTAGGAGTTAGATATGTAAACATAGAAGAATTGTGGGGTACCTATGTAAATGGCCCTTCATAATGAGAAGTTATTGCATCCAATCATCTCGTGTACAGACAGACCCCGATTTAATACATGCGTGGGCTTGTTTATACACGTGACATTCTGATAAATTGGTAAAAATGCACAAGTTTTATACATTTACACATCTGACACTCGAAGTTCTATATTTACATTTATAACAGTTTGATTTTATAAAACTGTCATGAAATGTTGTATTGCTCTTTTAAAAATGTAGCAATGATGATATTTTTTTATGTTTGATAGGCATGTAAATATGAATATTTAGGTGCTAGATATGCAAATATATAAGAATTGTGTGGTATGTATGTAAACTTGCAATTAATAGTAATAATTTACCTGCCTGACTTTGATGATCCGAGAAAGCATGCCGATGAGGATATCTGTGTTCAAGCTCCTTTCATGAGCCTCATCCAGAATGATGACAGAGTACCGCTTCAATAGAAAATCACTCTGAACAAAAGACACTTCTTAATCAGCAATCTGACTGAATAAATTTATTTACGTAAAATATATCCTTAAGAAAAAACTTCAAAAAATTCTGAACAAAAGACACTTCTTAATCAGCAATCTGACCGAATTAATTTATTTACGCAAAATATATCCTTAAGAAAAAACTTCAAAAAATAATAATAATAATAATATTTTAAACTTTCTTAATTAACATGGGACACCCAATTTTTACATACATACAACTCAATTCTTATGTAATTATATATCTAACACCTAAAAATTCAATTTGTAAATACAGGCCATCTTACCTATGCATGAAGAATGTGCATTTCGCTATTTAAAAATTATAATGGTGATATTTTTTATGTTAACTAAAAGATTATAGTGGTAATAATGTAAAAAGTAAAATTTAGATGTTAGAAAATGCAAATACATATAAATTTGGTTTTATGTATTTAAATGCCCCAAAATTCAAATCACCCACAATATAGCATGCCTTATAGTCATTCATTATGTAAACTGGGTGTTATTTTGAAGATTGTGACAACTTTCACTCAACCAAAATAAATGGGCTTCTCTGATCAAGTATATGCTATGTGATTGTTGGAACACTGAGGTGGTGTTTGGCTACACGTTAAATAAGATTTGTCAAATCCGATAAATCTGGATTTATCAAATCGAGTCAATGATGGAATAAGATCGCGAGCGATGACGGAACTCGTGATCCGATTCACTCAATAAGGACTACATCTCAAAAATGACTAAATGTGAGAAGTATCAGATGTAACGCGAGAAAATTAGATTTATCGTAGTGTTGGATTTATTTATTTTTTTTTTTTGTGTTTCGCTAGATTTAAGTTAATACATAGCTAAATCCTATAAATAATATGCTACCAAAATTAGATTTATCGTAGTGTTGGATTTTTTTTTTTTTTTTTTGGTGTCTCGCTAGATTTAAGTTAAATACATAGTTAAATCCGAAAGGCCAAATTGTTGATTTTTGTCATGTATGCAATACAATGGATCTAAGAATTGAATTGAGATAAGAGTAGATATGGAAATTCATATTATATCACCAACAAGTTTTTGTTAATCATTGTGCGTCTCCATATCACAATGAAATCCCTAAACTTTTTTTAATAAGAAATAGACTATTTAAATTCATATTAAAAGAATTTGGAGACTAAATTGACATTTTTATAGACTCCGGCACTAATTAACTCCTTGCAAAGAGTCAGGGGATCATTTTAACATTTTTCTCTAGTGAAATATGTGTTTGCATAGAAAATTTCAACTTCTGGACCACTGACATAACATTTTTTTTTCTAAGTAAGAATTTGTGACATGAATTATATTGAGCTTTTCATACTTAAAAAAAAAAAGGATATTGGACTTAGACGAACACAATTTAAAAATATTTCCAATAGCTTGAATTGACCCCACTAACATCATAATGAGCATTGTGGCTCTTATCCCCAATTATTAAGGGATGGTGTGGAATGACTTTTTATTTTATTTTATCTTTTTTTATTTGATGTTGTTCATATTTTAATTTAAAATAAAACATATTTGACGTGTTATAACATATTTATTTATTTATTTTTAAAGATACTCAAAATAATTTTTAGGAGTTTTGATTGTTTTTAAAAATTAATTAATTAATTTAGAAAAACATAAACATTAAAGTAATGCACCAAACAAACATGTTTTTAAATAAAAGCAAAAACAAAAACAAAAGTGTTCCTAAGCAAGCCCTAAGATCAAGATATGAAAATGCTAAGTTTTTGTAAGCAAAACTTATTGTAAACTTTGGTTTCCTAAATCTTCTCAAATTTCCTCCTAACCTCTCACAACAAAGCCGCCATAATGAGCTGATGCTCTCTCTCTCTCTCTCTCCCATCCCTCTTCTCTTCTCTTCTCTTCTCCTCTTCTCCTCTCTTTTGCATAAAGTCATTACACATCATATCAAATCATTTACTCAACATCTCCCAAATTAGATCTCAATCAAACAATTAAAGAAGAATTACATACATACCACTTAATTCTTATGTATTTGCATATCAAACACCTAAACTCCAATTTTTACATATATGCCAGCTCATCTATGTATTAAAATGTGCATTACAATTTTTAAAAGTTAAAATGGCGATATTTTTTATGTGTTATGAAACGTTTGGATGTAAGAAATGTAAAAACTAAAATTTAAGGAGTTAGATATGTAAATACATTCGAAATGGGTGGTATGCATGTGAACGGCCAGACAATTAATATCACAAACTCCTTAAATCGCTTTACCCTTCCAAGTTCCACCAATCGTCCGCTAATGTATTCTCATTTTCGATACAGCCATTTCAGTTTTTCAACCGTCTTTATGGACCAAATGTCTAATTCCAACCATTTCATTAGAATTAAAATCCCAGTTAACCAACCATCTAATCAAGTTCAAGCAACCCTAAATTTGAAGCCAACATTACAAGAGAAAATCATTAAGCTTCATAAGATGACTTAATTTCATATTAGAATGGCTATTAAAATTACTAAAACAACAACAACAAAAACAAGCTATCATCCCACTAAGTGGGGTCAGCTACATGGATACTTTTTCTCCATTGTGCCCTATTGAGTGTCATATTTCCATTTGATGCTAATAAATTAAGATAATTTTTTATACATGCCCAAGATAATTTTTTATTTTTTATACATGCCCAAGTCTTTTTAGGTCTACCTCTATCTTTCTTAACATAAGTCAAATCTAAAGCATCTACTCTCCAAACTAGATTATCAGATGGTTGATGTTTAATATGACCAAATCATCTAAGACAACTCTCTCTAATCTTACATGTCACTGGAGTTATACCAACTCTTTCACGGATGCATTCGTTTTGAAAGTTTACTAAATGTTGATCCAAAAAAAGTTTTGAGAAGGCTTATGATTATGATGATGGTGATGATGAACAAAGGTGTATTTTACAATCAATAACATGTACTTTATCTAACAACTACATCTTTGTGTCCTCTTTATGATTTAAATTAGAGAATTCTTTCTCTATTCTTCAAGGCTTCTAAACATTTTGTTCAAACAATAAAAGAGACTGGTTTTCACAGAAACAAAAAAGTCACACCCTAGACTCATTATTAAGAAATCTTAAATTCCTTGAGAGAAATACTGAAAAAAAAGAAAGATTTACAAAAGGGTCCCAAAATTCTTATGCATTTACATATCTAGCACCTACGCTTCAATTTTTACATACATGCCACTTACCTATACATGAAAAGATGTATTTTACATTTTAAGAGTTAAAATAGAGTTATCTTTTATGTTAAATGAAACATGTGGATGGTATAAATGTAAAGAATAAAGTTTAGGTGTTATATACGTAAAAAAAAAAGAAAATTGGGTGGTATGTATGTAAATGCCGCTTATTTCTTTGTTGTCACTGATTTGCTCTAGCAGCGGATCGTTGATGGTGTATTGTATTTTGCAGCATTTTGATTTCCTTTAAAAGTTATAAAGGTAAGAAAATTATGAAACCTCAAGTGATTCCTACTAGAAATTGCAAATTTTAACTATATCTTAGTAGATTCTAAGGAACTGCTCATTTGGGATTTTCATGGACCATAAATAGGACCCGAGGCATGTAGAACAGTAGAAGTGATTGACCATCAAGGATTAAAATAAAAGAGCATTTACATATATACCACACAATTCCTATGTATTTACATATCTAACACTTAAACTTTACTTTTTTACATTCTTGAACTCATTTTTGGTGAGGTCTAGTCTTCCTCTTAGGATTTAGGATCTAGCCTTAGGGACCTCCCTTCGACTATCTTAGAACCTTAGAAATGGGACCCGCCTTGTTCTAGAAATTCAACCCACCTCTGTCCTCTTTTGTGGTTTCGCATGTGTGGTGTCAACTTATAGCATTTAGAAGGGTGAAACCAACATGAACAAACCCAAAAGGGATTCCCTATAGGACCTTCCTGAGCCTTAGGGTGGCCTTTTGCACAATTCGCACTCCCGCGCGCACAAACTTCGCAATTCGGAAAGTCGGCGCGTCCGATCGCCTCAAATTCGCTTCATTTGCACTGTTACTTGTCGAATGCTCGAGTTAACCTTTTGAAACGATCGATCGCGGGTCGAAATTTTGTGAAATTTGAATTTTGACGCGTTTTTGACCCGATTGTCGACGACGTCGTCCGAGCGACCCCGTATGACAAAACGGACTGCGCCAGCGCGTCCAGAACGTCAATTTTGCCTAGGGAGGACACCCATTTTGTTACGTCGTCGCGCGCGAATGAGTCGAACTCCCCATTCTCCGCGTCCGAGCTCTGCCTCCTTTCCTTCTCCCGTTCGCGTGCCTGACCCTTTCTCTTTCTCGTTCTCGAGCCGACCAAACTCTTTTTCCTCCGCGCGAGAGAGGGTTGACCTCGCTCGTCCTTGCCTGACATGCTACTGCTCGCGGCCCTCCCTCC